AAATATGTAAAAGATCTGGAATAGCCAAAGCAATTTTGAAAAAGAACAAAATTGGAGGACTTAACACTGCCTGATTTCAAGACTTATTATAAAGCTACAGTAGTCAAAACAGTGTGATACTGGTATAAAGAGAGACAGAGATCAACAGAATAGAAAAGAGTCCAGAAATAGATCCACATATAGACAGCTAACTGATTTTCAAGAGGTGCCAAAGTAATTCAATAGGGGAAAAGGTAGTCTTTTCAATAAATCATGTTGAAATAACTTCATATCCATAGGAGAAAAAAATAATCCTCAATCCTTACTTCACAGCATACCCTAAAATCACCTCAACATGTATCATAGACCTAAACATATAACCTAAAACTATCTGTCTTTTAAATTCAGGAGTCGGAGGGGGCAGCTGCCTGTTTTTATAAATAAAAGTTTTGGGGAAACACAGCTATGCCCAATTGTTTATGTATGTCAATAACTGCTTTTGAGCTACAACAGCAGAGTAGAGTAGTTGAGGTGCTATAGCTTGTAAGCCTAAAATATTTACAATCTGGTCCTTTAAGATTGTAATTCTAAATTTTGAGGATCCCTGTTCTAAAAGAAAGCATGAGAGAAAATCTAGGGAACAATTTCTCAGACAGACACCAAAAAGCAAGAACCATAAAAGAAAACATCAGTAAACTGGACTTCAACAAAATTTAAAACTTCTGCTCTTTGAAAGACAACTGTTAAGAAATGAAATACAGGGGCTGCCCGGTGGCGTAGCGGTTCCGCTGCTGGCGGCCCAGCTTCGGATCCCGGGCGCGCACCGATGCACCGCTTGTCAAGCCATGCTGTGGCGGCATCCTACGTAAAGTAGAGGAAGATGGGCACGGATGTTAGCCCAGAGCCAGTCTTCCTCAGCATAAAGAGGAGGATTGGCAGTTGTTAGCTGAGGGCTGATCTTCCTCACAAATAAATAATTAATTAATTAATTTAAAAAAAAAAAGAAATGAAATACAAGCCACAAATTAGGAGAAAATATCTGACAAAGGACTTGTATCCAAATTATATCAAGAACTCCTACAACTCAATAATAAGAAAACAGCCCAATAAATTAATGAGTAAAATATTTGAACAGATACTTCGCAAAAGAAGATACACAACTGGCCAATAAGCACATGGAATAGTGCTCAACATCATTACTGTCAGGGAAATGCACATTTAAACCACAATGAGATACCACTAAATATCTACTAGAATTCTTAATTTTAGCTAGACTGAAATACCAAATTTGGGTAGGATGTCGAGCAACTGAAACTCACACATTGCTGCTACACAAGGTACACAACCGCTCTGAAAATTATCCTGACAGTTTCCTATACAGTTAAACATACATTTTTACCATACAACCCAGCAATTCTACTCTTTTATACAGCCATGCATCACTTAAGTCTGGGATACGTTCTGAGAAATCTTTGGCAATTTGGTCATTGTGCAAACATCATACAGTATTCTTACACAAACCTAGATGGTATCACCTACTACACGCCTAGGCTATATGGCAATAATCTTGTGGGACTACATTGTATATGCAGTCTGTGGTTGACCAAAACATCATTAAGCGACACATGACTGTATACCCAAAAGAAATGAAAACATACATTCACCCAAAAACCTGTACACAAATGTACATAGCAACTTTTTCCATGATAGTCAAAAACTGGAAACAACCCACATGTCCATCCACAGATAAATGGATAAACAAATTGTGATATATAGCCTTACAGTGGACTACTACTTAACAACAAATATCCATGATACAGCAAAAACCATGGAGGAATCTCAAAAATATTATGCTAAATGAAAGAAGTCAGGCACAAAGAATATACACTGTATGATTGCATTTACATGATATTCTAGAAAAGATTAATCTAATCTTTAGTAACAAAAAGCCTCAATGGTTGCCTGGGGACAAGGGTTGTGGTGTGGGGGTTGGGGGAGTTCTAAATGAGCATGAGGGAACTTTTCAGAGTGATGGAAATGCTCTATTATCTTAATTATGGTAGTGATTACATGGGTGTATACATTTGTCAAAACTCAAAGTGTATAAAAATCTCATAACACACTGGTGCTCAATGAATATTAGATAAATAAATTATAAGTAAAAGTATAGGAGGTTCCCAGCACTGGCCCGGTAGCCTAGTGGTTAAGTTTGGCACCCTCTGCTTTGGAACCCTGGTTCTCAGACGTGGACCTACACCACTCATCAGAAGCCATGCTGTGGCAGCGACCCACATACAAAATAGACGAAGACTGGCAACAGATGTTAGCTCAGGGTGAATCTTCCTCAAGCCAAAAGAAGAGGATTGATGACGGATGTTACCACAGGGCGAATCTTCCTCAGCAAAGAAAAAAAAAATTATAGGCAGTTTCATATGAATAGTCCTTCAAACTCACTCCCTCCCTTAATACTTTTCAAAACATTTTCCATCCTCTTCCTTAGAAAGGAAAAACATGGTATTTGAAAACTTTCTCAGCAACAAATACTGGAACATTAAGAAAAAGAAAAATTCTTATCTAGGGAGGCAGTAACATCAAATGGCTCTTTTGCTTATCAGAGTAATAATCAAGTCAAAGAAGGAAGTACAAACCCTCCACAAAAATCCTCCTCATACCCAAATGTGTTCCTACTCTTCCTTTTAAACCTCCTTCTTTCTTTACACATGAATGTGTCTTTTTGTGTTGTGGCTCATCACGATGCTGGAGGTGAGGTGGGAAATTAAAAACAAACAAAATAGCCTTTAAAGCAGAATCATGCAACCTGATCAGTGACATCATGGTATGCATCAGGGACACCAGCAACTCTGCCTAGAAGGGCCCTTCTGCCTTCTGTGATTACTAAAATCATTCTCTTAACTTCAATATCACACAAAACATCACTTCTTCAACTTCTTCAAAGAAGCCTTTTCATTCCCTCCACTGAAAATAAATTATCCCTCTACTTTCCTGTAGGATATTTAACATACTTTTCTTGGGTAACCCAAGGTATTATGCCTTGGGCTCTATTGATTCAGAATTGTCCACTTCTACCCAACAGACTGCAAGTTCCACAGGACCCTGTATAATACAAAGTGAGATCACAGTAAATTTTCTGAGTGGATGCTGAATGAATCACCAATGGTACAGGAATGAAAATCCTTCCAGGGTGCCTTCTGGGCATGAGTTTTGTAACATAGTACTAACCCCTAGCACCAACAGCAGTGGTTGTAGAAGCCCACTTTCCTAGGTCAAGGGCTTTTACAGCTGGGAAGTAAAGGAGCTGATAATTTAGGTGGATGTTCTATTTTAGGGAGGTAGGCAGAACGGGAGTGACCCGCCACGTGGATTTGCTGAACAGTGCTTTCTTCATCCCAGCCAAAGTTCTATTTCCTGCCAATTTGGGGACTCAAACATTTTCTACCCAGGCCTATCTTACTTTCCTTCAAGTTCACTCTTAAACTCTTAGAATCACGAGACCAGAGCTGTTTGTACCCTAAAGCTAATGAAGCCTAAGCGTCAGGCTTCCTCACCTGCACAGCTCCTTCCATCAGGAAGCATTTCTAAGTACCCATTTCTGGCAAACTGCCTAAAGAAATCTCTGAAGAAAGGGATCTACATCTCCAAGATTCTCATAATTTGTTGTGATTTCTTTACTCATTCTAAATATTCATTTCATATCTAATTTTGAGATCTTTTCCTTGAAGAGGAAACCTCCTTCCCCAAACTTAATAAGGGGGTGAAGTCGATCCCCAAAAAAGAAGAGGAAAGGAAAAGGTAAACGTGGAACAACAAGCTCCTCGGCTATTCTGGCTCCACTGCGGTATTAGAACTTTCACAAAACACCTCCTAACACCCCCAAAAGATCCACCCTTAGAAGACAGAGGATGTCAAAGATCCAAAAAACCCAATGTAGGGGGTGGTGGTAAACAAACCTCACAAGCCTCTAAAGAGGGGTGGTGGTGAAAAAGCGAGACAGATCCCGGACATGTCAGAGCGGCTCAAAGTCAAGGAGGGCCAAAGGAAGGCTCTCCCCCGAGCACCAGGGTCCTGGGACATCCAGGGAAACAAAATCACAGGGATATGTTTTCCTCGTAGTAGGAGCAATCCCCCCCGCGCCCCTCGCCCCGGTCAATTCCTATTTTGCAAAGCACAAGACCTGCCCTAAGACCACGGCTGGGAAAAGGTGGATGGGGCAGGGGGTGCGGGGGTGTGGGGTGGGTATGGTGAAGGGACAGCTACAGAGGGAAGAGAGAGGAGGAGTGGGGGGGGTGTGTGGAGAGAGGGACAGAAAGGCACCAGAGGGGGGCACTCGGATAGAAAGAGGAGAGTGCTTTTCTACCTTTAGTTTCCCCCCTCCCCAAAATAATAAACAGCCTGGGCCTAGGTGAGGCGAAGTGTGATAAGGTAGATGTGGACACGAGATGTCTGTTATTTTATCTCAGCCCTTGCATTTGTCAGACTGAAACTTCAGACAACGCCACCAAACTTCCAAAAAGATTCCAAGTGAGGAAGGCGCAGCTCAAGACCCGGTGCAGGAAACCAATGCGCGGGGTGGGGGGCGGTAAAGGAGCCGCTGAATTCCATAAGGAGGCAGATGAGGGTGTGTGGTTAGGGCAGGGAGAGGGGCTGCAGGGCTCTCGAGGGGGCCTGGAAAGGGAGGAAAGTCTGCCCGTCGAGCCTCTCCCCGGCGGCCGGGGTGGCGTCGCCTCACTCAGGGCACCCACTCGGGGTCCGCGGGGTCTGCGCACCGCCCGCCCGCGCCCTCGCGGCTCCTCCGCTTCCGCCGCGCCCGGCGCGCCCCTAGCCCCGCTCGGACCCTTCCCCGAGGACCATGAGCCACGAGGACCCCGGCCCGGTCACTGGCGCAGCCCGGAGCCACCTCCGCTCGGGACCGCTCCATGGGCCGCCCGTACTCTGGACCGCAACTCGCGGGCGGCCGCAGCGGGTGACCCAGCCCCAAGCCGCCGCCGCCGCCCCACACTCACCGCGGCGCTCCATCCCGCGTCCCGGACGCGGACGCCCGCCCAACACTCAGCGCCACCGCCGCCGCCGACGTCTGGAGCTCG